TACTCCTACTCCTACTCCTACTCTTACCACTACTACTACTACTACTACTACTACTACTACTACTACTACTAGCCACCCCCCGCAGCTACCAACTACACGTCGTCATTGTCATCAACAACATCACCACCGACATCACGAAAAAAGCAAACACATTTCATCACCTTTCATCACTCACATCGCCATCGTACAGTAAATACCGAGTAAAAGCTGGGTTGTGTGCGCACGAAAAAAGCAAGCACATTTCATCACCAACATCACCAAAAAGCAAACACATGTCATCACCAACATCACGAAAAATCAAGCACATTTCATCACCAGCATCACCAAAAGTACTGTAAATACCGAGGAAAACGGTTCCCCCAACCAATTTCGAGTTTTCGCGGCACGCCGTTCGAGACTCAAAGTTTAAGACGTGCAAGAAGTAGGGGTGGCAACTATATAAGAAAGTACGACATCACGAAAGTATTGTAAATACCGAGTAAAACGGCTCTTGTGGTGATATTGTTGGTTGTGTTTGCGTAACACTGTCGTCATCATCCAGCCCCCCCCCCACCCCCCACCCCCCCCAGAAGCCAAAATCAAGAGGCTGAGTTTGCAAACTCGGCAAGTCGATTTTGTGGTTTCTTATGATGATCGTACATGACGAAAGTGCTGTAAATATCGAATAAAACGGATGTGCTCTTAAGATGGGTTTGAGCAAGTGTAGTTGGTAGGAGCGGGGGGCGGGCCTCCTACTACTCCTACCACTACTCCTACTCCTACTCCTACTACTCCTACTACTACTACTACCTCTAAAACTCTAGTACTCGTACTGGTACAGGCATCGGCACTGGCATTGGCACGGGTAGTGGTACGGGTACAAGCAGTAGTGTAGGTGGTGGCAGAGGCGGAGGCAGAAGAGCAACAGTAGCGGTAGCGCAAGCAGTTCCAGAAGAAGACGAAGAAGAGGTAATGGGTGTCGTCGTCTTGGAGGTATAGAAGCATCAAGATCATGACGATGATGGTCAAGATGTTTTCAGTTTAGAAGTCCTGTTCGTTTCGTCAACTGCTTGCTTATACCACTTTACTGCATGGCTAGACATGAATCTGCTACAGCCTATAATGTCTACGTACAGATGTACATTCATAGAGAGGGGGGAATGGCGCAGAGCAATGCTGCTTGCAAGGACACTAGAATGAAAAAGTAATCGTGCCAATAATTCTCGGATTCTTTTCGCATGTTCTTCGCAGGAAGAGCCTTGGCTTCCTCCGGGCTCCTACGCCATCGACCCTGCAAAGCCGCACAGGAAGCCGTCAAACTCTTGCCGGGAGCCCAGGACTTGGAGCCTGCAAGAAACGTCGCGCTGCCGAAGTTGCAGTACGGAGTCTCTTGCAGCTTTGACAGAAAATGATCCTGATCGGCCGAGGTACGCGAATCCGCGAAGTCGGAATCCCGGATTATCACTGCCCTTGTGAAGCCCAGGGACTAAGTCTGCAGTATATGCCAGGACATGCTGCAATGCTACGAAGGCACCCGATGTTACAAAGAGGGTGCACCCTTCGAGGACTTCCAGCAGCACGATGCTTTCCGGAGACTCGCAAGACAGCGGCAGTTCGTTTCAAGTGATGTGTGCTCTGCAGGAGTGCCTCAACTCCAACGACCCTGAGTACGTTACACAGGAGTGCATATGGTTGCGAAAGGCACGAACCTCGGAATGCGCGCGAGCGCGGTGGTAAGCCGTTTTTGTTGGACAGCTGTTGTCCTGTTCTCCTTAGCTTTCTTGACCAGGGCTATGCACAATGCAGACGAGATCTCATGAACCGGCCGCTGGCTCGGCTCAGAAGATGTCAACTGCCACTGACTGCTCGGCTCACAACCAAGAGTTGTCGGCTTCCGTGAGGGCCCAGGATCGACTACTGCCACGGTTGCAGCTGACACTGCGCTCATCGAGTTCTGTTTGTTTGGTCAAGTTCAGCCGTCATGACAGGCAGCGCATCTGGCAACGTGGCAACAGGTCGGCGTAAGGATGCTTGCCGAATGTGAGAGCAAAAGGCGAAGAGGAGCGTGGCTAGCTGTGGCTAACTGCTGACTGGTGAAATCACAACCAACTAACCGGTTATGGCAGTATGTTCGTACAGGCAGCAAGCCTGCAAGCATTCGTGATTTGAGTAGCCTCTGCCTCTGCATGCATTGATGCTCGATCGAGCCCGCAGCCACGTCCAATCATTGAGAGCAGTCAGAACAGCAGTGGAGCCCATGCATGCGCAACTTGAGACAACCTTGCCCATCAAAATCCAAAGACTAAGACAGATGGAAAGATGGAATAAGTGATGTAGTTGCTTAGCATACCCTGTTCTGAGCCAGGCCAGCATATGAAAGCCGAATACGCACGAGAAGCCATTGCAGGCAGATGCAGGCGAAGGGACACAACAAGGACTACTCTGACGACACCCTGATCAAGCATGTTGGAGGTTGTGGATCTGCAGCAAGAAGCCGATGACCAGGCAGAGCCAATTGAACTTCCCCCTCCGCCTCCTCCTGAACCTCCGCCCGTGCCTCCGCCTCCGCCCCCGCCGCCTGGGCAATCTCCGGCAAGGGCGCCTGCCAAGCCTTCAGGCCGCAACAGCACGAGAGGCAGCCCTTTCACGGTGACTGGGACCAAGCCGATCGTTACAACACAAGAGTATGCAGCTAGTTGGTTGATTGTAATAGCGCACACATGAGCAGATGACTAAACATAGCGGCGCCTGCGATGCTGCCATAGACTTTGTTCTTCTGAGGTGATCACGACGGATTGTGTGGGAAAGCATGCGAAGGACTTGTTTTCACATGTTGCTGCAAGCCTGGGCTGGCGGGAAGTGGACATCGCATCAGCAACGGCGGATGAAAGCAGGAAGCGGCCTGTGATCTTCTGCGTCATGCAAACCTCAGACTTACTGAAGCGCTGGTCCCAACTTGGCCCACGGAGCTGGGTGTCGCGATACTTCGGAGCTCCGGAGTTGTGCGATAAGGGGAACTTGGCGCGAATGATGAGATCTTGTCAGCGCCTTTGTCCTGAGGGACATTTCCAATTCAATCCACGCACCTGGGTTTTGCCAGAGCAGCTGGAAGAGCTTCGCGGTGTTTTGGAGAAGTCAAAGAGTACCTACATTGTGAAACCGGAGGATGGCTCGCAGGGTGACGGCATTTTCTTGGTGCAAGGTTTGCATCAGCTGGACATTAAGCTTTCTGCACAAAGTGGAGCGGCGGTGGTGCAGAAGTACATCAGCAAACCTTTACTTCTCCATGGGCTCAAGTTTGACCTTCGCATGCTTCTGGGACTTCAGTTTCAGGTCCTAACAGGTCTCAGACCCAAGGTCATCCCGTCTGAGTGGCACTAAGCTTTTTGGTGCAGATCTCCGGCCACCTTTAGGAAGTTGCAGACCGGCCTGGTGAAAGAGCCCAGGTACGTTTGCCTGGCGGGAGGCTCGTCCACTGCGCCTCCTGCAGCTTGGCTTTGCCGCGAGGGCCTTGCGCGCTTCTGCACGGAGGCCTTGAGGGGTTCTGGAAGCTCGCGCGGGGCAATGCAGAGCAGAATATGATAGTTTGTACTGTGGACGAGCATTGACGGTGAACGAGCTCTGCGAAGTACCTGCCCCGGTTCGAGGCTTACGAGCAGCCGTCAAAGAGGAATATGCATCGGTGCATGGGAGACGGGGCTGAACACTCAGGGAGTTTGGACATTTGCTGATATCTGGTGTTCTTGATGCGGATCTGTAAGGCTCTCACTTGTAGGTCCAGCGGCAGGTAGGACTTGGGGCGGGAGCACAGGACATCTGACCAACTATTCGTTGAACAAGCGCAGCAGCAAGTTCGAGCATTGCCGGAGCCTTGGGCAATCCTACATTGGCAGGTTCTCTCTCCTCTAGTATAGCCGGACGCCTCAATCGACACAGCTTGCAGCAAGCATTCTGCATGAGGTGGCCAATCAGTGGAGGAAGTCTACAATGACGCCAATACCGCTTCAAAGCGTCCTCTCACAGTCTGCTTGCGGCAGCTCTGCCATGAACATATTGACTTCGACATTGAGGCAACTTGATCAGATCAAGTCTAGTCTGAATTTGTGCGATTGTGACGCAGTGCAGGCATTCTATGCTGATGCACTCGAGATAGCCCAGAAAGTCCTTGGCATCATGGCGCCCACATTGACATGTCATTATCGACAGCGTGGCAGCTCCGATGAGATGAGATGCTTTCAGGTCTTGGGCTTCGACGTTATGCTTGGCCATGATTTCAAGGCTTATTTGCTGGAGGTGAACAACTCGCCTTCGATCAGCATTGATGAAGCGCTTCCCGTTGAACCAGACATGGGTGAAGAGAAGCTTTGCAGGTGCATGGACATGGCTGAAGTGCACCGTCATCAGACGTCACTGGTGGACTTGGAGGTAAAGTCTGCAGTGATGCGCGAAACGTTCCAGGCATTGCTTGGAATCGACACGGATGGCGGCGAGTCTGAGAATTTCATGCCCATCCCGGTGAGCAACGACATCCTCTGGCAACTGCTAGTACGAGTCGAGGCATTCTACTCTCAAGCCGGAGGAGCTCTCTGTCTGACATTCTTCTCTCTCTCTCTCTCTCTCTCTTTCTCTCTTCATGTTTTCTTCGTGTGGCGGGCGCCGCCTGCAGGAGCCTCCAAGGCCTTCACGAGCACTGGCCTCCGACGTACTTTTGGGCCCTTGTGCGGCACAGGTGGGAATGCCTGTGACAACGTAACTGCGGCATGGTGAGTCTCTGAGAACGACAGCCCTTTTCTTTCCGATCCTGGGAGAATGAATCTGAAATGTCAACTTTGGTCGCCTGTCACATGCCCAGACAGTGTGCAGGGTTGGCTAGTGCCTCCTGCAAACTCGGGAACTTCACCTCTCGTGCGCCAACACCCAAACCACATGCAAAGTTGAAGCATTGCAAATCTTTGAAGGTCTTACTACAATCGCTTTGCTGAAGCCATGAGGTGGTTTGGAAAAGCAGGACTTGGACATGCTGTCTCAGCGCTGTAGATCCACTCGCTTTGCATCCTGACTGCAACAACAAGCACAGACAAACTGGCAGGCAGTATTTGGGAGTGTCAGCCGACTTGTGAGGTTTCACATGACAAAACGAAGCCTGATGCTCTTCGATTGTTCGACGCTTGGCAAGAACTGCAAGTAGTCAACGTGTCTGCAAACGAGTTTGCCTGGCTGACACGGAGTCTTTCGGGGAACGGACATCAACCGTATCTGGCCCCGGCTTGCTGTCAGCACAGCTGATGAGGACTTTTTGGACGCCGTGCTTACGCTTGGACAGCGAGCATATCCTGAAATGCACCCACGTATGGTGGTCGAGCAGGCAGCTACTGAGCAGTGCAAGACATAAAAAGCTGTGCAGAAATAACATTCCCATGCATCATAGCTTCGACTTCGCTAGATGGAGAGGTACTATCACAATTGACCTGAGCGCGGCAATCCTGATCGCGCAACCATGTTGTATTTGCCGATCAATTGAATTCTGCCTGGTGTTGCGTGGCTATGCGCGGAGTATCAGTCGAAGATGTGTGGCAGGCAGTAGTTGGAACTTGCTCTTGGTGTCAGACTCTACACTACCTCGGTGAGCGCCATGGGCAAGCAGCAAGCCCCCAACACGAAATCCGGCAAGAATGTCCACATACATGACAATGGGACGACTGCTGTGGCGAGTAATTCCAGAATGGAAGAGGGACATGCCTTTGCTGGGCCTGTTCAATCAAACAGACGTGGGCTCACAATGCAAAGAAGGCAAAGCTGTATGTTGAGCACGACAGTTGCAACGAGCGAGGGCGGCTACGAGACCGTTTCTCGGGCTGGTCGTCGTGGCATTACCCGGCGGTTTTATCGTGGTCATCGTCATCGATTCACCGGAGGATGGAAACTTGAAGTACCGACCGTTCGACGCTCAGCTTTCGATGCACATCGTCAAGAACATGACCACCGCTTTGCAACTTCTGTCTGGGCGAGATGTGCGGTGGGTAATGGAGCAGCCGTTCGGCAGTGAGATCTTTGCGTCCCACGAAGAAGCTCCCGCAGGAAATTACAGCATCGGGCAAAACTAGAACAGTGGCAAGGAAATACGACGGTTGAATCTTAAATCTAAGTATGCGCGTAGGTTTTCTGAACTTGTCAATTGAAAGGTTGTTTAATTCTGGAGTAGATTTTTTACTTCGATTAATCAATTATATATTCAGTTGATGGGCTGCGTTCTAAATTCGCGTGTGGGTAGAGTTATTGACATTGACATTGATGCATTGAGGGGGTATCTCTTTTGCTCTTCGCTATGAGGCGGCACGCAAGTAGAGCCACTTATTACCGAAGGTGGCGCTAGGAAAACCGCTAGATTTGCGCTAGGCATGATTCGAACCGCATGATGTCGCATGCTCAAGCTGAAGCTGTCTTCTATATCCCATACCCACCCTCAAGGCCCAACCGCATCAGAGTAGCTGAACAGCACTCGTTATTGTCGTAACGGGAGTTATTGTAGGTGTCTTCAGGAGGTCTCTGCCGCGCTGCCTCTGTGCCTCCTGAGTGGAGCTTGCAGCAAGGTCATTTTGGGGGTATTTGTACTGTAAGGGAGGCCTTAGCGCTAGATCCGCGCTAGCTGGGCGCTAGCAAAAATTCAACACAACTTGCCTTAGAAGACCCTGGCCCATGTCAGCACAAGCTATATTGAGTAAAGACACTGTATGAAGACATTTCCCGTCTCCGTCCACGTGCACCGCGCACACACACAGACACTTCTACCTGTGAAGATATGAAGGCTGTAAATAACATATTACTGACGAACCGCAGCTGAACAGCTGGAAGCGGAACATATGTGGGCGTCACTTCATGGCACTGACACGGGGCTCGAGCCCGCCAGCAGCAGCAGCGGGACATCCTGTATTCCCGCCAAGAGTCCAGTAGCAGCAGCAGCAGCGACAGTGCTTCGCGACAGCTGCTACTGAAAAGTCTGCGCGCTAGCACCCTTCTTAGGAATCCACGCATGCGTCCCAAAATTCTTGCGTTTGCTGGTGCTATCTGTAAGCTTGATTTTCTTTCGCTATATGAGGCGGCAGACAACTACAGCCACATCAGCGTTAGTTTCGAGAACAAGCATTTTGACAACAACCTTGATATGAGCATTGATTGAAAAGGTCCTTGTGTGGGGATTATAAACGGTTTTAACATGTGAAATAGAGTGTCTGCGAAGAACCCGCGATGGGTCCGCGAAAGGAAAATAATAATTAGCGAAAGTTGTTGTATAATAGATTTGGGCCATATAGGATTTATAAGATTTTTGCTGTACAAGTCCGTAGGCATGTAGGTCGCAAATTCGCTATCCGACCATGCCGTGATACTAAATACCTAAAGCCAGATCGCTCGGCAGTCCACAAATTGCGAGAGGCGGTGGGGGAGTTGGGTATGGTCGTGCCTTTCATTTAGGGCCTCTGCGTTTCAAGGGTTGGTCTTTCCGACGTATATTTTTTGCACGTAGTATCAACATTAGAAGGTATTACCTTTGTGAAACCATATTAGGTTATAAGCACGAAAGATCCGATAAAGTTGTGCGAAAGACGCCGCGAAAGGAGCCCCGTCGTTTGAAGGCTATGGCCCACGATTTGGAGTCGGCTTTTTGCAGCCTAGTTATTGCTACTATTATTACTATTATTATTACTAATACTACTATTGCTATTACTACTACTA